TCATGTGGAAACTGCATTGATTAAACATATGTTTCAAACACATGTTTGTATAATTAGCGACAGCAACGACTTAATATTTGCAAAAATTGCTTGAATCTGCGCATTTCGTTCCAAGCAATAATTCATCACTTAATGAATAAGTGACAGAGAATCAGTTTTTAATTGCAAAGTAATTCTCGCACCTGATCTACATCAATGCACTCTAAAAAATCATCATCTCGCTCACGAGGTAAATAAGTAATAGCATATAAACGGCCTAGTATAAAAGTAAAAGTATAAACACGTAACGAGTGTAAATACGAGCATCATCAAATTTCGTAGTAGAGAATAATTGTGAAGGGGGAACGAATTTTCGGAAAGAATTTTCATCCGTCATAGGGATGATCATCCGCGTGGGAGTACTGTTTACCGCTAGATCAATTTACCCCTGACCGAGACGTTAAGCGGCTTATTAGGGGACAATGGCGAGCAGAAGAAAGTAAAGGGTTGCTTGGGGCGTACCTCCCACCTTTCATCCTTTTACTACGATACCATGTTGCAAGATTTACGACAATGTTAGAGTTGCAACTCTCGGCTGGACATATGTCAGACAGTGCCGTTTGATTTCCATGGTTTTTATTTTTTTGCCAATACGATGCTTTTGACAAGTATGACAAACAATGACAAGTCCCCGGGGAATCGAGAGTTGTCATTGAAAAATATTCCAGATGATGGATGGTCTGGTGTCTCTCTATACACGACTGATGTCAGATAGCATTCCCTTCGTACCGGAAAATAATAATCTCTTTCCGGTATGCGCATGACGGGTTTAGTATCATCGCTGGAACTTGACCACACTGTCCTTGACAGTTTATCGGAATTTTATTGTAAAAATAACGAAGGATTTTCTTTTTTATGGATTTATGGCGATAGAACTTTCGTACTGTTGCAGTTGACTTTGAACTTAAGAAGGAAAGACACAGAGAGAGAGAGAAAGAGAAAGGAGAAGGCGTGTCATTTTGTAGTTCGTCATTTTGTCCTTCGTCATCTGTCAATGGTAAAGGTTGATATTATCGAGACAAGTTGGTACTTCAAAGCTGAACAAACAAGATCTCAGACATGGCCAATGGAAGATCGGTCGATAAAAATTTGTGCACACAACACTTTGAGAAACAAGATGGACATACAGACTAAATAGTGCTGTAAATAATACTGAATACTGACAAATGTCTTTGGCTAATGCCGAACAGTACAAACAAAATCACAATAGTATAAAAAAAAAAATCATCCACGAAATATTCCCTTTATCGGAAGAAATTGTTATTTCCTTTGAAAATATTAACACGCTCTAAAAAACTTTTGGGCCGAGAGATATGTTTGCGACGATCGAGAATGGGAAACGTTGACAGAAGACAGCGGGTAGTCAAACTGCCTCACTTTGGAAACTGTCTCACTTTCTTTTACGCGCCGAGTGCAACGATTTTCCTTCATCCTTGCAGGCATTGTGCGTTCGGCAGAGCGTAATAATGGTTCCTATCTGGTGGTGGTCGGTAGCGCAAAAGCATCGTCACTTCGTCCTGCCAATGATCGTTTTACGACCATTATAAACCGGCACTTTGTTCGGCTTATGCAACTCGTTTCCAGTCGGTACGATGTATTGTGAAGGCGCTGTTCTAGCAGATTTATAGGTACGACGTACGCCACAAAGCGCATGAAGCATCTTGGGAAACTCTTAGTTTCTGCGCTACCACGTGTTTCGGTGCAGTCGAGAGATCGTCGCGGGTTTCTTCACGCTTTGATACGTCTTTGCAAATCTCGTTGGGCTCTGTTCACGCACCGTCAAATACCGTAAAAACTTCACTTTGACCCCTTTCGTGTAACATTGTGCTACTGCAAGTTCTCCAGTTTGCGCAATTCCTTTGCGAGACAAGCCCGCGCCGCTTTCAGTTACTAACTAAGTGTTAGATATATTAAAATAGAAAATAAAGAGTTGGATAATTTTGCCAGTTTGATGAACTGAGAAGAAAAATTAAAAAAAAAAACTGGGTGATTCAATCAATTTCGTGGAATGTAATTTTTCTGCAGAGAGAAACTTGCGTTGCTGTCGATCGTCGAAATGTTAAAATGACAAGGAAATGAAAAATATTTTTAAAAAAAATTTAAAAATTGGTTCGTGAAAATATAGTTGCTTAACCTAAGGTAAAATACAACTTCTTTGCCGTAGTATAATTGAGACAACGTGCATTGCATTGGGAGAAACGTTCGGCACGCAGCGCGCCGCTAATTAAACCGAAAAGCCTTGTCCGCTAATTAAACTTGAACGATTAAGCTTATTCTACCTACCGTTTCTATCGATAATTATTACTCTCCAGATCGACTGCTTCTCGAATCTTGGTCTGGAGCAACAATTTTACCCGCAGGTCAACGATTGCTGTTTAAAAAGATCTGCAAGATCACGTGAACGAATTCTAGAAACATTTCTTCAGCAAACAAACAAAATTACCATCCCAATATGAGAACAGAATTTATAATATATATATATATATATATGTAACTAAAATGAATAAACATAAAGTGAAAGGATGTAAGCGAGAAAATGAAATGAATTATGTAAATGAACAATGTAAATAAACAAAAGGATTCGTACAAAGTATCAGTAGCGTCTCATTATCAATTAGGATTACACAATCGTTACGCGTTCATTGTGGAACATGGCGAGTCAGACAGAACGTCGGAAGAATACGGTTCGGATTCTCCGTGGCATGAGGCAGCCCCCAGGGACGACCACAAAAGGTGCGTAGCCTCGATCCTCGATCCTCTATCCTCGGAACGCAGGGTTGATTTATGAGCGAGTAGAGGGGAGGGCGCATGCGTACGAGGCTGCAAGATTCACTGGGGTCTATCCCCACTTCCGTAGAGAAACCCGGCAGAGCATTCAGCCTCCTCCCTTCTTCGTCGGTTCCTTGTCCACTCGGTTATTAAAACCGAGGCGACACGGTCGGCAACCGGCAATTATCTGGCGAGCGCTCGAAGCCGCGCACGCTTCGTTCCCGCTACGTTGTCGCACAGTTTTCTTCTCCTGTCTCTGTCCGGTGTTTGTTTATTTTCATTTTCGTTTTTCACGGCCAACCAAGTGATCAAGACCCAAGGAAATACCTTGTCCTCGGGCTTGCCTCGCAAGCACGCGAAAATTAGCACCGGAGTCGATCGGTTTCTGTGAACGGGACGACGGATGTAACAGGAAGCGAAGTGATGGCACAAGTAATGCAATATCAACAGGTCCGTAACAACGATTCTGCATGTAGCGGTATCGTATCGGTGAAATTCAAGTGTCAATTAAGTGAGGATTATTCTCCGTCAGTCTTGTGAAAAATGAGGCTTTTCGGAAGGGAGCGAAGATTACGCTATGTTCACTAACGAGAAACGATGGTCCTGGTTAGTTTCTCTCAACTCCCTCAAGTTCAACTTTCAATTTTAGTCTCGGAAATTGCAGCTCTCTTATCGCTGTATCAAAGAATTATCTAAGTGAATCTTCGAATAATAACATCGACACACGATACAAATTGTTGTTTTGAAATTAATCGCGAAACACGGCTGTCTGAACGATTCACTCCAGGGATTGGAAGTTTATCGAATTTTTCCCTGTTATCGCGGAGCTTCAAATTCATTTCAATTTCATTCGCATTACAGATGTGCGTGCCAACAGTGTCACCAGTGCCAGGCGTGACGCCCATGTCCAACCTGCCGATGCCGCTACACCAACCTGCCGCCATCGATTACGGAGCCTCGAGTATCCATTATCAGTCGTACAGCATCGATAATGGATACTCGAGGCCGACATTGAGCAATCATCATCTTCAAAGCAGCCAACCGAGCTACTGGTACCCTGGGACCACGAGTCACACACAAATTACAGAGGCTTTAACACCACCGGCGTACACGATGCCAAGTGTCGCGAGTGGTACCACCTCGTGGACGGCACCGAGTCATCTTACGGAAGCTCAGCTCGCAAACGTACCAACGATACAACATTACGCTCTACCGCCGAGTCCATCGGACATTCCGCCAAGCCCTCATGATCATTGCTCGCCGTATCAGTGGCCACTCACTCCGCCAGCGGATCATCACTTCCTGACCGCGGAAGATCCAGCAAGATCTGGCAGGAAGTGCATTAGATGCCGTTGTCCGAATTGTCAGATGGACAGTGGAGGTCATTTGGGGATGGATGGCAAGAGGCAGCATGTTTGCCATGTGCCAGGATGCGGCAAAGTGTACGGCAAAACTTCTCATTTGAAGGCACATTTGAGGTGGCATACCGGCGAACGACCTTTCGTCTGCAACTGGTTGTACTGCGGCAAGAAGTTCACCAGGAGCGACGAATTGCAGCGTCATCTGCGAACGCACACCGGGGAGAAAAGATTCGTGTGTTCCACGTGCGGCAAGAGGTTCATGAGGAGCGATCATCTGACGAAACACATGAAAACGCACGAGAAGAAGAAGAGCAGGAAGGAGTCGAATAAAGAGAACTCGTTACCAACCGCGAGCTCTTCAACGCAGAGCTCGTATCCTTCCGCTGTCGGACAGTACATCATGATTTAGGATTTCTACATTTGGGAAGTTGTTGTTGAACGTGTTTCCATAGATGATAGTGCAAAGATATCAGAAAAAAATCCTTTAAAAAAAAATGTAGGAACCAAATTTTGGCTTTGTTGTGTGTATTATATCCGTCCTTGTAAATGATTTCGTTTGGAAAGTTCTTCATAATTACTTTAAATAGTATGGTGAATAACTACCTATAATAATTAAATAGCCAAAAAGGATCCCGCATTGTTTTGATGGTAGAGAATGGAAGGGACACGTTACTTGATTCAAAGGAGCAAATTACACCGATAATTTGCAAAAGATAGATTTTTTTTTAAGGCAATTTTCATTGAGTGTTTTTTTTTCTTTTTTTTTTGTAAAATGGGAATACAATAGATGCGGTTAAAAGTGACATCAAAATTCCGAAAAATACAAATTTGAAAAGAATTTTCTTTCTGCCATCTTCTATTTGCTCCTTTGAACCAGAATGTCCTCCTTTAATATGTCTGAGGATAATAATAAATGAGATTAGAATTAATATAACGAGTAACAAATAATCAACTACATTACATTCAACTATTCGATGCACACTCTTCGACGATCACACAATGAAAACTGATTCACGCTAACGAAATCGTTCACATTGTCTCTTTCCTTGTGAGACAGATGCCGATCCCGTCAACATTCTCCAACATTCATAACGATCTTTCAATATCTTTTTCTCCAACAAAAAAAAAGAAAATATTTGAATAGAAATATTCAACTAGATTGTAGAGTTACATATGTAATATATGTTCGGGCGATTTCTCATAATTCTGATATCAGGTATATTAGAATTATGTGTAGAAAAGACGCTTCTAAAATAAAACAAGTTTATTCTATTTTTAGATAAGGCTTTTATACTGGCAAGAATAATCCTAATGTTTATCACGGCTATTGTGACGACTATGGCACGCTGACTCGCTTGTTATATTTGATGTTCTCTAAAGACGAGATTGACATCGATCACTGTGGTCGATGCTTAACAATTTCACAGTTTTCAGAGGAACTACGTCAGAGCAATCAAACGGCTCATAGTTTAAAGTGATTGATCTGCACTCGCCATCACGCCTTTCTAAAACAGACCTGCCGTCGGCGAGGAGGACAATGATATGACAAGTTCCGACAATGCAATATTCGTCAGTACAACAATAAATCAAGTGTGTTAATGCGATATTAAATTCACTCGGCAGTTAGTGCGTTACTATACTCAACGATGAGTCAGTGCGTATCGCTATGACTCGAGCTATAGTCGGTCTTCCGCTATATCGCCAACACACATTCACATGCATATAAATAATACAATCCACTATTCGCGATCTTCGATTTAATCGCTCATCTCATTCTTCACTTTTCATTATACTCTCACAGGACATCTTGCCGATATGAAAAAGCGAGCCGTTGCCTTTGGCTAAATATGATTAAAGATAAGGTGATAAATTTCTTCATGCGAACAAGAAGTCCAAATTGTCTTTCTTGTAGAAAATTTTGGAAGCAATTACATAACGTACTTTCATATCGCGATTGTTTCGCAATGTACTAGAGATTGCCCGAACGTTCATAGGAAACTAGACAGATTACATATTTTTACATATACATGATAATATGTACATATATATGATACGCATATGCAATTATATGCAATTAAGTTATGTAGTAGGAATAACAAAAGAAAAAAGAAAAAAAAAAAAGAAAATATGACATTCATTCTATCTGTAGTTTTAGCGACGTTGAATCCAGTACTCCAGTTAATCCAGTTCCTAGATCGAGGCGTCACGTAAATTTTCGACCGTAGCCTCGATTTACCGTGGAAATTCACATAATAACGAATCATCCCCTTGTCGTATATCAAGTTCCTTCCTGACATCTTCCTGTCATACGATACACGAGTCCCGCCCAAGGGGCACAATACACCAGAATCCAGCCCTTCGCATGTCCTCGATGATGATTTCCTACCTGGCAGGTGTTCCAATGAAGAAAGAAAGAAAGAAAAAAATATATATCATTTCACGGAAACTACCCGGGAATGTCTCGATCAACTCTACGCAACAAAGAGACCTACATGTTCTTTTTTTTTTCTTTCCCTTTTTTTCTTGTCAAACGAAGAGCAAAATTCTTCAAAGACACGCACGGGACGCGGGACGACGAGCTCTTCCTTCTGCTCTCCGCGGAGACGTTTCAGAAGTCTCGAGGGAAATCCTCGAATTTACGATACGGCACTGTGACGGCCCGTTTCATTCGCATTCGTGCCAAGAGATGGCTGCACGGTGAATGGAAAAAGCCCGCGTAGCCCTATTAAAGGGGCGGCGCGCCGTAGCCCCGTAGCCCCGTTGCCTCGGCAAGGATTCATGGCTGGCACGGTGTAGTAGAGGTAGAGGCAAAAGAGGCAGACGCGATGATAGAGGTAGGAAGAATCGCTCGCGCGCGACAAAGAGGGAGAGCTAGATGGCACGGAGGACAGATAAGACGGAGTGAAAGAGAGACAGACGGACGGACACAGCTCGAACGACGAGGTAGAAAAGCGAGACAGTGGCCGAAGAAGGGCGCGCGAAGGCCAGAGAAGGGCAAAGGGGGTTACGAAATACGGAATGAAACAAAAAGAGGCAGCCGCGGAGCAAATTATAGGGAAAAATAGGGGAGGGACGGAGGCAGAGAGGAGGCACAACGCGAAGCTCTGTGTGGTGTGGCATTCACGAACGAAGACGATCAGGTGGACTGGCTTGGAAGAAGGGTAAGGAGGGGAGGGAGGGGTGGCGCCACGGCAATTCCAGGCTCGCGTTCAACGTTCGCCGTTGGAGTACCGCGGATAGCCGCGAAGTTAGTACGCAAGAGATTCAAACAGAGTCGAGAGTGTGACCAGAGGGACCGGGTGGTGTCGTCTCTCCTGTTTGTTTGCCGCCTTCGAGAACACCGGCAACCACCGTAGCGAGCAACGCGTACCGGCTACACACCGGTCCGCCGAAGAAAAGACGGACGGAGTTGTCGTGAGCGCGACAAAGTTCGCACAGCATCGTCTAAAGAGGAGAGGGAGAGAAAGAGAGAGGAAGAGAGAGAAAGAGAGAGAGAGAGAGAGA